CTGGTTTCGTCTCAAATACAAATGCTTTAGGTACTGCACACTAAAAATGTATAGATCTAGATCTAGATCTAGCTAGCCTCTTCCTTTAATTTTTGTGTAGTGTAAGTTGTAAGTAGCCTACTCAGCTTTACCAACTTACCGCCGGCGTTGCCGATACTGGGAAACAGTTTTGCAAACAAAATGACGATCAATATGCCACAGCAAAAGTGATTGTTTTTCATGACTGCTAGCAACAAGACATAGAGACCCTTGAGTACGCTCACGGGTTGGACATCCGAGAGAAAAGCTGAAATTGGAGTTTGAGTTGAGCCACCTTCGCGGGTCCCAATTGAAACTCTTGTCTTGCGTTGATTGTTGACGTTTTGTCTACTGTCTGGGGCAGCGACGGTACTTGGCAAGGGACACCACTCTCGATTTGTTTTGGTAAATTCCTCTCACTGAGTGATTGGTCGTTGACGGAAGTTTCAACAAAGTTTGGCCCTGCCAACAAGAGTTCTTTCGGCTGATAACTTAGATCTTGATCTACAGCGGACTCTTTGCTAAAAGTTGCTTTATATGAGAGGGTTATGTTTGGACATTACTTGCTTCATGGAGTCAAGCAGCGAAGCATCGTTTGCTAGACATGCTTTTCTGTAGATCTAGATTAGATCTAGATCTAGAACTTGAGCTTGATATCGATGTACTGAATTTTTGTTGCTAAAGACAAGTACAAGATCAGGTCTGTGTCTAACAAGTGAAAGTTTACCAGTGGCCAGTGAGGATGGCGTCCGAATCGACAGAGGCGAAGGTTGCCCGCCACAATAAGCAACCCAACATCACTTTTACCTTACCTATGTCATGCCAGATTTGTCTTGGAAAGGTAAGAAGCGTGGGACAATCTAGCTCTAGATTCTAGCCCCAATGATTACCGCAGGGGAGGAGTTCCGGCGATTTTGTAGTTTCGTTCGTTAAAGTCAGGGGGGTTTCAGGGGGGCTTGCCCCCCTGACCTAACAAAAATATGGAGGTTGGGGGGTTCAGGGGGGCATGCCCCCCTGAATGTTTTCCTAATGTGATGTTTTAAAGTTAGGTTGCATCCCTGCTCTTTGTGCAGCCTATTTCAAAGAGTCAAAGAGTATTTGGTCATCAAGACTTCTGCGGATTTCTTCTCTGGATGTAAACAAATGGGTCGTGGACTTAAACGAACGGAACTACAAGATCACCGGAGTTCCACAAAGGCAAAGGGCCGGCACTTACCGTAACCGTGACAAGGTCCACTGAGCAAACTTGAGTTAGTGATGATTGTTTTAACCCTAGAAGTGCTCAGCGTGTCACTGTAAGTAACCCGCCAAAAATTCCCCACCGGCATGGCCGATCGGTTGTGAACATGGGGGTTTGACGAGGGGAAATTCAGCTGAGATACACTTATAAAGCCCTACCTGCTACTAAAAAATGACCATTTATAGCTCAACAGATGATAAAAGGCATTTATAAAACCATATCTTTTCTTAAAGCTAATATAGTAATAGAATGAGCCATTAAAAAAATGATAAGCGATCAAATAATACAAACAAAGCGCAAAATGCAATAAACTCAACTATTAGTACATCAACGTGTAGCCGCTCAGCTGGACTGCGTCACTTTATCGAAGTGGCGAGCCGTATATAAGTTTGGCCCTATTGACTCGAACCTGTTGAGTACACAGGTCTCATTAGATCTAGATCTAGTAATTATTCAGATTTAAATAATGCAAATCAGAAAGGCACCTTTTGGTTTTGTCTGAAATACAAATATTTTAGGCTTTGCAAACTAAAAATTTCATTTACAATTCAGCCTTAAGTACGGCTAGCCTTACAGTCTAGTCATACTTAAGTACGGCTAGCCAAGAAGTTTAGCCTAGCCTGGCAGTCTACCGTACTTATAAGGCCCTATTGACATTAGAAAACAGGAGGTTTAAAATGCACTGTCATTATCATTAAGGCACCTGGTTTCGTCTCAAATACAAATACTTTGGGTACTGCAAACAAAAAATTTATTTACAATTCAGTAGGCCCTTTTATGGTCAGTCTTGCCATCATATTAAGAATAAGTACGACTAGCCCAGCTGTCTAGCCGTACTTCCAACCAGTCTAGCCGTACTTCCAACCAGTCTAGCCGTACTTAAGGCTCGCCTAGCAGTCTAGCCATCATTAAGTACGGCTAGCCTCTTCATCCTCTCTTTATCGATCGATATCTTGGCCAAGAGACGCTGTACGAGGTCAAGATTATAACTTGCAAAGTCATTGGTCACTATTTATTACTTTGCCTAGCTGCCCACTGTCCCCAGCCATCCGTATTTTGTACGGATTTTCTTGAAAAATCGCTGTTGTCCCGGAAATACGGATTTTGACCGACGTTCCTGGAAAATAAAAACTTGGCAAGCATACTTCTAAAACAGAAAAATTAGGCCTAGTGAAGAGGGGAACCTGATTCCATTGCAATGATGACTGGCGACTGACAGTGACTGGTGACAGCACACACTAGGCCTCCTAGGCCAAGGCCACCACACCGTAGGCCTACACGCACACAATGGCTAGGCCTACACCTACACACACACACACCTCCACCTTCACCATCGCGTGATGCCTTTACAACACACATCACTTGCACTAGGCCTAGGCCTAATGAGAGAGGGAGAGGGGACAGCACAATCTAGTTTTGTCGCTCCCGCTTTCTCACAAACTAGCCTAGATAGGCTATCTGCCTAGATCTAGAATCTAGATCTAGCTAGGTATAGATTTACGACGGTTTACGGACTTCGTTAAAACTTTACGGAGCGACAGAACAGCTTTCCTGGGCGCTAGCAGACAACAGTTGCGAACCAGTTTCAGACCTGCCAACTTTCGAAAAGCAAAAATAGGGAATTTTGAAGAGAGATCGACTCAAGGGGAAATTAAGTGTGGCCCGTGAGCTCGAAGACAGTTATGTTATATTATGTCACGGGCATGCTATGACGGTGAATGAGTCTGTAATATTATAATAATAATAATAATATTAAATAAAAGATATCTTTCTCTTACTCTTATAAATAGGGTTTGCTCACCTATTGACACTAAGGGTTCAGGCCTAGGGCCTGCATGGCAGGCCAGTTTCGCATTCTGACGACGTTGACATTATAATTATTTTTTGTTGTGTGTGAATTTTGGGAAATTGAACAAGATTTCTGTTGCTCGGGAAAATTACGAAAATTCGGGAGAGTTGGCAGGTGTGCAGTATTAAGGTATAACGACTATGCGTAAGGTGTCCTTGATAATTAGTCAATGTCCCTGGTTTTGAGCAAGGCTGTCCCTGATAGCCACAGAGAGGGGTGGGCAGCTATGACTTTGACCTGTAATATACTACGTCATTTTCCATATAAGAAATTCTGGAATTTTTCCATTGAAAAGGTCAGCGTCTTTGCTCTTTATCTCTTTATATGGGGCCTGCGCGCTTCCTGGGTAGCCAGGCTCATGCCCTTTATATAGGGCCTGCGTGCTTCAGGGTTTAAGATTCCAGTGTTTAATTGCATCTGAAATAAATTGGGAATCTTATAAATCGCTGAGTTAGCCTTTAGGGTTTGGGTACCCTGCTCAAAATATCCCCTCTTTTGTGTGTGTTTGGTCGGGCAGCCCTCTGAGAAACTCTGCAGTAATAAATTACTTGTAGTAGCAGGTTAACAACTGCTGCCCATTGGCACAATCTCAATCAGTATAGGTCGGTTCGGTTTGGTTTGGTAGGCGCAGCTAGCCAGATTTAGGGTGAAAAGTGACCATCATGGCACAAACTGAACGAAGCCGACACGTTTGTTTTCAAGGCCTAAAGTCGGGCAATCGGTTTGTGTTAGACAGCTCTCTGAGCTACCCCTGCACCCCTAAGGCAAACCCTTACTTTTTCCCTTTACCCTGCAACTTACAATGCCTAACAATACCCGCTTTCTCCCCCATCTCCACCTCTCTAATCCGTAAAGGAACTATTGATATGGCAGAACTCTTGGTCTAGGGACAAAAACCAGAGATTGCCAGAAATGTATACCCATGTCAAGTTGTACCGACGCTAGTGATATAGTTAAATTGCTTTTGATGTTAATGCTCTGTGGAAATATTTGCGATGGAAGGTCAGGGTCGCCTGGTTTCAGAGGTAAAATTAGCGAGAAAATGGCTGCCAAAGTTTGGTAACTTCCATAGCCTGAGGGTCCTTGGAAACCGAAAATTTATAGTTTTTGTGTCTTTAACCCTTACATTGTCATTTTCGACTTAATTCAAAATCACTGCACCAGAGTTAGTCTGTCCCCGTCGGATTAGCGATTGTGCGGCCACAGCGAGACTGCGTTTTTTCGCGTAATTCCGCAGCATGTGCTTAATTTTGGATTCCCCGCGTTTTTTCACTTTTTTTTCCCCTCCATTTACTAACAATTTAGCTCCTCTACGTGTGACTAAAGGGAAGTAATCACTGTAATAAGTCTCATTTAAGTGATAAGTTGGTTATTTTCCTTGTTAAAAGATCTTTGCTAGCCTAATTGTTATGGGTAAGGGTTTTTTTTCCCTGAGCATGTTTGATTTTTCAATCCATCATGTCTGCTGATGTTTCATGTTTGACAGGTGTCCCTGGTTTTAGGGATGTGCCAGCATCAGATGTCCAGATGTCTTTATTTTTTTAAACCATTTTTCTTTCCTCTATGGAAAGTTGCAGAGATTATATTTTGGGAGGGGGGGGGGTTGGGTTTTTTTTGACTGATGTGTACTGTTTTCTTTCCAAATACACAACAAATTACTGATATTTATATGTTCTGTTTTCAATTTTTCTGTACATAAAACATGAAAATTCTTTTTGAAAAAGTGCAAAACTGTCGCGAATGGCGTTACGGTAACTTGCCTAATTTTTGCATCGTTTCGCATTTTTCTTGCATAATTTGGCCATCAAAATTTGCATAATTCTGCGGGGTCAGGTTAGTTTGCCACTTTTGACTTAAGTCGAAATTAGTAGCCTACTTAATACTTGCTTACGAAACTGCCGATCTGCCCCATGTAGGAAATAACCGGTTTTCGTGGGTGATTTCCCTTTGTTCAGAACATGTTTTCACTTCTGTACAGTCGATCGTGGCCTATTTTTCATCATTTTTGTTGAAAAACAAGACGTTTTTGATGTGTTATGATTGAACCAAATTGTAGCGCTGCATCTCATCGTAATCATTCTGACTCTGTTGAGTCATTTAATTTTTCTGATGATTCCTGGGAAAGTTTTCAGCCAGGTAATAGACTTGGACAAGAGTCTAACACTTACAGCTATGATTCTGACCTTGACAATGAGGTTAGAAGGCTTATTGTTGATGGAGCTAGAATTAGACTCAATGATAGTGGTGATCGAAAGGGGGGGGGGGGAGCGGGACACGGGTAGGCGTGGCACTTGTACTCAGCCAGCTGATGAATTGCAATGGGACTATCTGCAAGATGCTGAAATTGATTATGACCCAGTTGAATGTGTTTTTTCATTTGCCACAACTTATATATAAGAGTCTTTGTTGAAAATTTCATGGAGTTATCATTTACGGTTTTGGAGCTATGATTTTTTTAAAGTATATATTGTTTTTTGTTGTAGTACCCTTGAAAAATGGGTGGCAAACTGGGAGCATATAGGGTAAAAATAGATGGCCCTGTAAGGCTAGGGTTAATCAATATTTTTCAGCAAAATCCACACAAAAATGTGTTTTTAAATGGACATATAAAGAAGGTGTTGAGCCAAAAAAAGAAAATTAGAAAAAAGTTGCCTGTCGGCCAAAGAAATGCTGTGGATTTCATTAATTTGACGAGAGACTGACTTTACCATGATACTTCACATATCTGGAATTTCAGTAAACCATGATAATGAAAAATAAGAGATATATTGAAGAAAATCAAGGGAATTAAATGTATTTATAGCATTCTGCTGAAAGCATTGGAACAAACCCAGCTCGATGTTCTCATATATTTGGTGTTCCTTCTTTCTGTCGAGTGTTTCCGATTTTATCTTAATTTTTTAGAACTTTAGAGGGTTGACGATTTTATCTTAATTTTTTAGAACATTAGAGGGTTGACTTGGGGAGTACTAAACTTCTTACAAATTTCTATCTCAGTTCAGAACTTTTTGTTAATCTCTTCTAAAATTTGATGCTTGGCTTGGTTTTATTATCAGGCAATAATGTTTTCTCCTCACTGCCATCCACATAATAGGATAGAAAGTGCATGGGCCTTGTTTGGTGTTGAATCTAGAGAAAGGAAGAGAGTAAAAATGATATAATGAGCTTTTCAAGGGAAAAAGAGAGAAATTGTTCTTAGTATCAGCTCACAATCATGATGATGTAACCAACACAGTCAGAGCACACCACTTCTAGTGCAATCATTTTACGAACCATGCCTTCACGCTCAAACAACTACACACACAATATATTCACAAGCTCACAAACATAATCCACACAGCCCGACAAACCTGAACAAGAAATCATGTGTATGTCAAAGAAAATAACTTCTGCCCCAGTTCCCATGCAGTATTGCATTACCCTCCTTCTTGCCCCCTCCCCTCCCTCCCCTCCTTCCCCTCCCCTCTCGAGCTGATAGGACCTGTGTGCTGAGTTTGTTATGGGTTGACACATAGAAACACAATGCTTTTCATTCAAACATGTGTATTTAATTATTCGTTGCTCAGGAGGGTAAAGGTAGACATGCTCACATGCTCAGGAGCATGCTCCGGTCCATCACGTGAAACAGTTTAGACAGTCCATTGTTTGAAAGAGAAAAGTAATGGAAGTGGTCTCGTGGACTGACTGGAGATGCTGTAAAGTAAAATCCTGGGAGCCTGGGAAATACCTTTTAACTGATTTGAGTGTAATGAGAATTTCTGTGAAAATGACTTCTCTCCTGTTCCTACAACCCCCCGCATCCTTATATCATGTCTATTTATTTCACCTTTATTTATCATTTTTAGGGCTGTTGAGGAAAGCTTGGGCTGTGCTTTGGTTTTGGGGTGTAACAGAGCCATCCCTCCTCCTTTTTCTGTTTTCTGTTTTCCCGTTCCAGTTATTACCACCCTGTGCTGTGCCCCAATTTCTGCAAATTCTGTCAGTTGTGCTTGGGCATCTCTATCTCTTTGTCTCTGTCTCTCTCTGTCTTTCTCTGTCCCTCCCCCATCTCTCTCTCTGTCTCTCTGTCTGTCTGTCTGTTCCCCTCCCCCCACCCTGTCTTTCATTCTTTGTCAATCATGTGCTTGCTGTTCTCATGTGTTTTCTGTATGTCTTATCCAGGTAAAAACACCATAGATGGTGTGCCTCACCTTCTATGCATTGCGCCTAGACTTGACATCTGTCTTTCTAACTGTGTCTGTCTCTATCTGTTTTTGTGCCTTCCTCTCCCTCCCTCACACCTTTTGTAGCACTCATGTGTTCTCAATTCGTCCTATCCAGGTAAAACAGCCGGTGCTGTGCCCCAACTTCCATGTGTTCTGTCAGCTGTGTCTGGACATTTGGCTAGAGAGAAACAATCAGTGTCCAGCATGCCGAGTACAGATCGGGCCATCCAACCCGATCAAGCACATCATTGGTGAGTGAGGGGAGGGTACTGAGAGTGAAAGAAAAAGAGAGAGAGAGAGAGAGAGAGAGAGAGAGAGAGAGAGAGAGAGAGAGAGA